CCATACTCTCTTAAACTGTTTCCACACAATGTGGACCAAACTGCGTGTCTTCTTCTGATCTGTCTGTTCTACGCAGCTAGCTCAGTGAAAGTGAGATCTGTCTGGTTTCAGCTGGACCATTTCCACAAGAAAAGCAGAATATCCCTGGAGGGAATAAAGCTATTCTAATAAGCTCTTCTTTCACTTGCCAAAGGAAACAGCAGAGAGTTTCTAGGTTTCATCTTTTCTCACCTGTTGTTGCAAGAGTGAGGTTATGGCAGCTCCCAGACTGTATGAAAGAAGGACAGGCTTCAGGTAACTTGACTGTAAAGGAACCACAACTGCTCCCTAAGAGCACTGCTTCACACTAACCAAAGGGGAAGATTCAGCAGAGGATCTAGCCAGTACCACTGTCACTTTCAGGGAGTGACTCTTGTTCTGTGTCAAGGGATTTGAGTTTATGACACAGATTATGTCCAGTGTTGAGTGCAATGGAGCTCAGGGCTCAGTGGCTTGCACCAGCTCCAAAATTTGCGACAGAAAAATGGTGAAATACTGGAATTGCCAAAATCTATTGATTTTAAACCTTGATATGATGTACTATTCACAAACCTTGGATGCATATAAAAACCTTAAGGATTTGTTGTTGCAAATGATCACTTCTATAAAACTACAGTACGGCAGATGCTGGAGAACTCATGAACGGTGCTGGAAACATGAGCAGGACCCCTTTATTCAGCAGTCACAGCACAAGAACGAAGGCAGATTTAACAGAGCTGTATGGTATCTTTCACACAGTGCACAGTCAAATTGTGAAGAACCTTGCACAAACTGTTATCGACATCAAGAAAAGAAATGAGTTAAAAAAAGGATTTGCAGCATCATGAAAGTTTATTAAACACATTAGGCTCCATGCAACCTCTGGCTTGTCAAGTGCCTGTGCTGCTGGAAATTATGAAGGTGCTCCTGCAGAAAGTTTTCCTTAGATATGTCCAACCTGTCATACTCTTTTCCTAATGTTTTCCCTCTATTCTACCGCATAAGGTCCAGGAGAGCCACTCCAATTTTTGATTCCAAATACAGGCTAATATATGAGATCAAAACTCATTAAAAATTTGGAAATATAGTGTATCAGAAATCCCAGTAACTTACAATCAGCTGACTGTGAAGCACTACTCCTGTGAGAAGACAATCAAGGCTATTTGAAAAGACAAGGACAAATTTTGGGACCTGCACATCCTGGCTTTTTGCTGTACATCACAATATTCCAGCTGGAAAAGGTAACTACACAACTGTCATATAGCATAGCTTTCAATACGAGGAGTACAGAAGATCAGGAAAACATATTATAAAAGAGGTTTTTGTAACAGCTGGCTTTCTGATGAAGCAAATTTTTCAACTCCCACAACAGACATACTGGCTTGCAACTCATATTTCATCATTCCAGCAAAAAATTTCCTGTACTCTCTCATGAAATAATGAAATCTGTTTCTGCAGTCAGTGGTATCATACAAGGAAATACCTGCGGGAGCATTGGTAAAGACAGTAGTTCAGACACGTGTCACTGCCATTCAGCTGTTACAGATACTCCTGACAAGACAAAGCAGTACTGTATAATAACCCCTTCGGTCTGAACCACATCTCTGAACCATGCAGACGTGGTTCTATCCAACGTTACAAACTTCATGCGCCAAACCGCCTTGGAAATGTCCGTGGTTCTCTTCAGCAGCAGCACTTCACTGGCAGAGTGAGTAAGACCAAATGACTGTTGTATCAGTTTTTGCCACTACTCCAGCAGCATAAGAATATGGTTGCCTGAGTGGGTTTGCCAAGCGAATGATAAAATCATGAAAGTTGTTGCTTTGTTTCCTCATGCACAAATGAGCAGGAACAATGAATAGCTGATCGTTTAAGAGTTCCCCAGAAGATGAAAAGTGCAACAGTAGTCCCCATTTCTTGTGTCTCTAGTGGGACAAAAATAAATCCTCTATTTTTGAGCCTTCCTACTCATAAAACATTTTTCTCATTTCCTTGAAGTGTTCCAGCTTTATTTTATTGGTACATATAGGTAATTTTCTTAACAATTTTATAAAAGCTCTTTTTTTAATGAAAATAAAAACTTACAACTAGCAGAGAGCCAGAACTCAGAAGTAAGGTCCTATATCATACCCAGACCTCCTGTCTAAGTGTGGTGATGTGAATTGACATTACAGAAGTTACGGACACCATGGAAGTTCGTCTGTGGTGTCACTTCACTGCAGTGAGAACTGAGCTTGAAGAATGAATATTAAGTGCACAAAACTAACAGAAAGCATAACCTGAACACACGGCTTCCCTAACGCTTTGAAGAAAACACTCCAGTTTGAACAGTTGATAAACAAAAAATTCACTTTGAAGTAGCATAAATATACCTGTATACAGTCCTTATTCCCTCAAGGACATAGGTAAACACAAAACTGAACCTGGTCTGTCAAAGTCTCACACATGTGCTGAAAATGATACATCTGACTATTTCAAGAACAAATGATCTACAGTTTTAATGATGCTGTGAATTAGATACTCGCTTGAACTAGACAAAACCAAAACTTCTAGTCGGGTTCTTAGAAACACCAGTGGATCTGGACTAATAGGGGAAGCACCCATCCCTTGAATCATGGTGATGAGAGGGGAATGTTTTCAGATCTCCCTTCTAATGGAGAAAATATGCCTGAAAAATTCTTTCTGGCTGTTGGAAAGAATGACTCCTGAAAACAGGAGTCTGAAAAGAGGTTGAGTGAGCAGTTTAATGACTGAACAATTAAGGGTCTATCACACTCAGTAAGGCATCTTGCTGTTCTGAGGTACGTCTCATTGACGGTCTTCATGAATCGGTCTTACTGATAGTCTTTATGAATTTTTTAATTATTACTTTTAATTGAGTGCTGGCTTAAGTGCTATCCATCAGAGGGATTGCACTGCCGAATGGCAACCCTGGACTAAAAACGGGCTATGCCTGAAAGCTGGCTGCATAACAGCAGCTGCTGATGGTTTTGATGGAAAATGAATTCACATCTTTGTGATTATTCATGTAAATTATTTTTTCAGTTCAGTTGTTTCAAACAATAAAAAGTAGAATGTCTATGCAAATATTATTTTTCTTTATGACACACTTGGAATACAGAATTATAGAGCTGGAAGGGGTCTCAGGAGGTCACATAACCTTTCCAGCCTACCTCAGGAAAAGGGAACACCACACCTCCGCTATTCCTGTCAGATCCTTGTCCAGTCAGTTGTTTGATGACCAGTGACAGAGACCAGCGTCCCAGATGACCTCCTCCACTGCTTCACCAAAACCTTCCTAATGGCTACCCTAAATGTCCTTCTGTCTTTCAACCCCATTACTTCTACACCTGTCCAATGTGGCCAAGGTGAAGAGAGTACACCTTCCACCTTTGCGAGCAGTCTTACACGTATCTGGAGGCTGTTATAACACCCATTCCCCTCCACCACAGCTATCCCACTCTACCTTTTCTTCTTGGGCCATGACTTCCAAAACTCCCATCCTGGCATTCTCCTCTGGATTCTCTCCAATCGATGAATGCTGCCGCAGAGAACAGTCACCGGGGGCAGATTCCTACACCAGCAAGCGCTGAGTAGAGAGACTGCTGCTGGTGTTCCAGTGCTGCTGTACGGTAAGTGTTCAGCTAATCTTCATGTAAAATATGGAACATTACCCGTATCCAAAAGATGAACCTTTATGAGACCTCTGAAAAATAAGTGTGAGAAAGGTACATAACTGGATGCGTGTATGTGCAGCAAGTGACGGGGGATGAAAAGCTGGCGGCACAGCACGCGATGCTGGTGCTGCGACACACACAGCCCCGTTCTGCGTGCGACGGCAGTTCACCTCCTGGCCGGCCCCACCGCAATGCAGGCAGCCGCCCGCCCTGGCGAGGAGCAAGAGGCGGCAGAAAACGCAAATTCACAAAACTGAGTGTTTTAAATTTGTCGGAAATGACTGTTTCGTGGGAGAAGAGGAAACCTAGTCAGGAGGGTGAACCTAACTTCTCGCACCGTTTAACTGAGGAGCTGCAAAGTCAGCACAGGGAAGTGCCGAAGATGTTCCAGAGCGTTCCGTAAAGCCAGCCGACTGCAGCCGAGTTACAACAGGCCCTTTCACGTGCATCGACTGGCCTCTACAACGAGCGTTTCACTGGAGCGACTGGTGGCCGCGGGAGCCGCGCAAGCGGGGGCCCAGGATCTGCTCAGAAAC